GGGCCCTGCCAGGATTGTGCTGGAGGCGGGGCAGTGTGCAGAGACCCTCCCACACGGTGCAGGCGCACTGGCCCTAGCAGCGTGTGGGGAGCAGCTGGCAGGGAGCCCCGCCAGGCAGCTGCAAGGGCTGGATCCAGCCTGGGGGGCTCTTTTGCTGCCGCCCTGTGCCCGGGGCTCTGAAATACTCTCCCGGGCAGGCTGGGCGGTGCTGTCTGTCCTCGGGCGCCGCCGGCGTCTGGGGGAGGGCAGCGTGGGGCTCCTGCCCGCTGCTTCCTGTACGCGGGGGGTTAGAAACGGCCCGGCCAGATCCGCTCCCTCCCCGACAGGCCCGTGTGATCATAGCCAAACACACACACACACACACACCCCTCACGCCCGTAAGGCCAGGTCCCAGCCGCCTGACCCCACTGCTTCTGGGGAGCCCCGGCAATGTGGGCTCAGGGCTCGGAGCCCGCTCCCGCACGGGCAGCAGAACCAGGCCGGGAGAGGGTGTCACGCCGGCGTGGGCCTTGTCCCCAGCCCCAGGGACGACGTTGACGAGAAGCACAAGGGCGCGGCCTATCACAGGCACAGCTACCACGTGCTGCAGCACGACAGCCAGGACGCCAGCGCAGAGCAAAGGTAGGTCAGCCGGGACGCCGGTCACGCTGCGCGCACGAGGGAGGCGGCCCTGTCCTGACGGCTTGGGCGGCTCCCCGGGGCCCGGCGCCTCGCGGGGGCGGGCCCGTCCAGTGCAGCCCAGCCCTTGGATTTAAAGCAGGGTTGCTCAGGAGTTACCCTGGAGAGCTGCCCTCCCCACCAGGGCCTGTCCTCCTTGCTGAATTTCCACGGCCGTCAATGGGAGAACAGCAGCCCGAGGCCTGGCAGGGTCGGCCGCTGTCGGTGGGGAGTTGAGTTACTGCCCGGACACCCGTGTGGTTCTCGCCGGGTTCCGGCATCTTGGGCCTCAGCGGGAGAGGGGTGGCGTGGCTGGGCTCTGTCCCCCGACTCGGCGAATTCCCCCTAGGGAGCGGTCCAGGAGATCTGCACAGCCTGGGGCAGAGACTACAGGTCCCATCATGCAGTGCTTCATCTCGAGCTGAGCACCTTCGTTGCTTGGATCAAAGTGGAGCACTTCATGCCAGGCCCTGCAGCTGCCTGCGGATTGGCCGGCTGTAGGGCAGGGTGGCTGTAGTGATGTGCCAGGTGAACCGGTCACTGGATCCCATGTAGTCACTTAACCGGTGAGTCGACCTCCAGTGTCTCTGGGATTTCCCATCCCACCTCCCCCTGCTCTTCCCCCGCAGCGACCACGATGACGAAGTTGCGAGTTTGGCTTCGGCAGCGGGCGGGTTCGGTGCCAAAGCGTCTGCGCAGAGGCTGCCGGTGAAGGACTGGAAAGCCAAGGTGTCCCCCCGGGCGTCCCCCAAGCTCAAACGGAAGGGCAAGAGAGAGGACGGGTAGGCTGAGCTCCCGGGGCGGGCCACTGGGCGACGGGGCTGCACGGCCACAAGGGACCAGTTGTAAATGGGGCTTTGGAAGAACTTGGGGCGGGGGGCAGGCTCCTTCTGATGAGACAGGGGGGCTTGTTTTTACTATACATCTAGTGTGATGGGGGCTAATTTGGCTACGACAAATGAGGAAAGAGATCTTGGCGTTATCGTGGACAGTTCTCTGAAAACTTCCACTTCCACACTGTGCAGTGGCGGCCAAAAAGGCAAATAGGATGCTAGGAATTATTAAGAAAAGGGTAGAAAATAAGACCCAGAATATCTTACTGCCCCTGTATAAAACTATGGTACGTCCACATCTTGAATACTGTGTACAGATGTGGTCTCCTCACCACAAAAAAGATATTTTGGCCTTGGAAAGGGTTCAGAAAAGGGCAACTAAAATGATGAGGGGTTTGGAACGGGTCCCATATGAGGAGAGGTTAAAGCGACTGGGACTTTTCAGTTTAGAAAAGAGGAGACTGAGGGGGGATATGATAGAGGTATATCAAATCATGAGTGGTGTGGAGAGGGCTGATAAAGAAAAGTTATTTATTAGTTCCCATAATAGAAGAACTAGAGGACACCAAATGAAGTTAATGGGGAGCAGGTTTAAAACTAATAAGCAAAAGTTCTTCACACAGCGTGTAGTCAACCTGTGGAACTCCTCGCCAGAGGAGGCTGTGAAGGCTAGGACTAGAACAGAGTTTAAAGAGAAGCTGGATAAATTCATGGAGGTTAGGTCCATAAAAGGCTACTAGCCAGGAGATAAAATGGTGTCCTTGGCCTCTGTTTGTCAGAGGCTGGAGAGGGATGGCAGGAGACAAATCGCTTGATCGTTGTCTTCGGTCTAGCCTCTCTGGGGCACCTGTGCTGGCCACTGTCGGCAGACAAGATACTGGGCTAGAAGGACCTTTGGTCTGACCCCGTACGGCCGTTCTTAAGTACTCCCGTGCTGCTCCATGACAGAGCCGTCTGCCCCCCTCTCCACCCCCCCTCCGGGAAGGCGCTTTTCACTTGTGTGCAGCCTCTGACTGATTTTTCTGTGGCTCAGCACCCCCCTCCCGTTCCCGATCCAAAACGGTTCCCTGGGCCTGCACTGCTGCACGCCTCCCTCCTGTCAGGTTTGGCTCCCTGCAGGCTTGGGGTCTCCCGCTTCACCGTGTTTTCTGTGTCGCCGTGTCTGACAGCAGAGCAGCCTGACACGCGCTGTCTCCCTCCGAACTTCAAAACGTGCCCTTGACTCTCCTTTACAAACAGCCAAGAAAACTGCCCTCTACGTGCTTGGGCAGGCGACCTCTGGGGAGACAGAATCGCCCCGGATTCACTCCAGGCCAGACAGCCGAGGCTGCCTTGGTCGGCTTGACCCTCCGGGGAGCTCACCAGCCCTCAGGCCATCGATCCAGCCCCTCTTGAGGTGCCGTGGGGGGGTCCTGTCAGTCTCCCTGGGGTTGGCATTGCTGCAGTCCGGGTTCCACGGGACCCCGGCACCCTCCTGGGGGTCTCAACTGGAAGGGGACAAGTGCAGGGATGGAGGGAGGGTTCAGGGGAATAGAAGACCCCCCCTCCCCCCCCCAGCTCAGTCAGTGGTGGTGAAAAGTCTCTGCTCCCGGGCTGAGTGCAAGTCTCACGCTTAGGGCAACTCTTCTTTTACTTCCAGGGACACGACCCAGTCCCCGAGATCGTGCGATCACCAGGTTAGTGGGAGCGCGGCCGTCGGGACCACACGCTCCATCCCCTGCGTGCGTATCAGCCACAGGGCTGGCAGCCTCGCCCCCCCCGGGGCCGTGGCAGAGCCCGGGGCCTGTGGGCGTGACCCTCTGAGCGCTCCTGCTGCTGCAGGGGATGGCTGGGGATCACGCAGGGCCGGCCTTACCTTGAGGCGCACTGAGGCGGCCGCCTCAGGTGCCAGACTGGGGGCGCCCCTAGGACCCAGAGTGTAGACAATTGTCTGCTGCTGGTGCATGCGTAGGGAGCAGAGCAGGAAGGAGGCAGAATTGAGACCTTTTGGCCCACGCGAGGGGGCAGGGGGGCGTCATTTGAGCGCCCCGCCTCGGGTGCCAGAATGTTGCGGGCCGGCCCTGGCCCCATGAGGGACCGAGCAGCGCCGGTTAACTGGGCGTTTAGTCCCCCTCTCCCTGGCAAGGGGGTCTGCTTTCCTCGGCTGTGGGCAGCTGCCCGGCTCCAGCGGGAGGGGACCAGGCCCTGGCTTTGGGGAGCAGAAGATTTGGAGTTTGCCTGGGAGGGGGGCAGGGTCCACTCCCGGTCACCCCAAACTCTTAGATCGGGGAGTTGCCAGGAGGGGACCCGGGGTGTGTTGCTGTCTCCGGGGGGAAGGCCCAGCCTGTTGCAGGGCAGGGGGGACTCAGCTGCTTGGCTTCCACATGGCCCAGGAGCCCTGGTTACGAGGCG